TTTGATATATTATGTGGGGTCAGTATAATAAACACATTTTAACACATGCATATCAAACCCGCATATTTTGGTTCTGTTTGTTTTTTTTTAGTTCAATGCTATTTATAAATAACCAATTTGAGAATTTGAGTAAACTTTATTGTGCGGAACTACAAATGATGATCAGCGGCTTTACAAAAAAAACAACAAACAAACAAAAACAAAACACCCGAATTGGTGTAAACTGCATTTTTAACAGTGTAGGACCCGATTACCTTCAGGGGCGCGAGTACTCTGACTGTGACGAGAGCCTCAAACGGAACGGGGTCCGACAGTGTGAAAGCCGTGCAGGCTGCTTATAGTTTTTAATTCACCAAATTTTCCCCCCATCCCCCCAAAAATTGGACTGACAGTTATTGATGATTTTGCCGTATGTGGGTACTTACCCACGCCACTAGGTACCCACATTCAGAAGTCACCGTTGTTCTTCTACTTTATGATCAAGTAACAGTGATCTTTTTCTATTAATTTATACCAACAATCTGTTTTAAAACATTACTCGACCTACAACCGGGCTCCTGGACGAGTGTCCCAGCCCCAAGCCCACATGCCCTGCATGTAGTAGACAAAATTCTGTTATATCGTACATGTGGGTGATATTATCTACATCATAGGAGATATTAATTTTGCACCAATACCCTTACATACAGTACGTGATATATTTTGTAGCCTATTTCATTTTTCTTTTGTCAAATGGATGAGTGATTAATTTTATCCTTTCCAGAACCACTGTCCAATTATAATCATGGAACTGTATCCAAACGAATCTTCTCGCAAAATATGCTTATAATTCGGTTCCAGTATAATACGATATATATGATGTGTATTATGTGAGCACAATAAGCAACCAATCCAATTTTTCAAAATGTATCTATGTCTGTCCTTCTCATTAACAATTCTTCGAATTCCACCGAAAATCCTAACTCCAGCAGTCGCAGCCTTCATGTGCCTTTTCATTGAGAAACTCAAATTTATTTTTCTTACCCGTTCATAATTAAACTTATTTATTATTACAGTATTATAAGCATTTTTTAAATTGACCATGAAGTACACCCTTTATTGAAACACATATAATTACATTAATTTATTACACTATTATTACAAGATAAATATTACATATTTCATACAATCTTAACTTTTCTTTATAATATATTGTATAACACAAAATCGCTACATCGCAATATATCAGTGATGGCATAGTTTATAATTATCTGTTATTTATTGTATATTATATACAAAATTCCTGCGGATTCCATGCTATTCAATATGGAATGGTTATATATTATGTTATCTTGATTAGCAATCGATAATTTTCGATTTCATAATACATGTAATGTAATATTTTGTCATTCATTGCCTGCGTTAATTAAAAAATAAAACCCCGAGTAACAGATATATACTGAGCGCCATGGAAAACGCATCACTTTTTTTTCTCAAATATTTTATTACTAGGTGGTTTTGTATGTATAATATTATGCAATACTATGAACTATTGTTTCACACAATGCTCCCAAACGCAAAAAATATCGGCCCGTGTGCAAAAAAAAAAGAAAAGAAATTGCACGAGATGCACATGAAAAACCCAATATTCACGTGCAGTATTGTGTGTGAGCCCTTTAAAAGCATGTTTTCAACTTAATGTGCAGTACATGAACTGTGAAACGTCAATCTGTCGTAATTTGTTGTTGGACGTGTGAAGGAATCGAGCTAGAGATGCCGAGACTTACTGAAAATCAACGGAATGAAGCCATGGGAATGTCCAGGGCTGGCATGTCTACACGTGCTATTGCCAGATTGTCATTAGTCCACTATTGTAAGGTTGGTGGACCGTGTTCGAGTTACTGGATCAACACGTGACCGTCAACGTCCTGGTCCACAACGCGTTACAACCCAGGCTCAAGACTGCTACATCCGGGTCACTCATCTGCGTGACAGATTCCGCCAAGCGACTCGAACAGGTGCAGCAGTCGTCGGAAGACAAAGACCAGTAAGTGCCAACACCGTAAGACGTCGTCTAAGAGAAGTAGGACTCCGTGCAGGACCATCTTATGTTGGAGTAGTCCAGCTCTGAACGTAGGTCTCATTACACTGAATGAGACCTACGTTCAGAGCTGGACTAATGTTGGAGCTATCCTCAGGGATCATCACCGTCAGCGGCGTTTGATATGGGCTCAAGGACACCAGACATGGAGAAGAGTAGACTGGCAAAGTGTGCTCTTCAGTGATGAGAGTCGCTTTCATCTTTATCACGCTGATGGCCGTCAACGTGTGTGGAGACGTCTTGGGGAACGTCTTGCAGACTGCTGCGTCTTCGAAACGAATCGATGGGGCGGGGGAAGTGTAATGGTGTGGGGAGGCTTCACATTTCATCACCGGACCGCCCTACACATTCGCAGGGGTCGCGTTAATTCTGTAGCCTACCGTGATGATGTCTTGCAACCAATTGTTGTCCGATGTTTCGAGCGCACCCACAACTTCAGCACTTCCAACAGGATAATGCACGTCCGCATACCGCCCGTTTTAGTATGGACTACCTGGCTGCTAACAACATCAATGTCTTGGACTGGCCAGCCATGTCTCCGGACGTGGCACCGATAGAACATGTCTGGGATGAGATTGGGCGCCGTCTGTATCGGAGACCACAGATGCACACCATTGCTGCTTTAGAAGCTGCTCCTGTCCAAGAATGGAACAATTTGCCCCAGGCCTTCTTTCAAACATTGGTAAATTCCATGCGACGTCGCTGCACACCGTGCATAAGAACCCGTGGAGGACACACGCGCTACTGACATCTGTGTCGTACTTTTGGTTTTGACCTCTCTGACTTTGTACCGTTGATTACAGATTAAACATCCAAAAGTGTACAAATGTGTTGTTATTGATGTGTTCCCATTTGAATATTGTTCACAGTAAGGAGCAAAATAAATAAGATATGTTTACAGGATCATTTTGTTATACGAAAAACTAAGTGATGCGTTTTCCATGGCGCTCAGTATATGTCACACCTTAGAGCGATGTGCCTCAAAACAATAGTTGTAGCATTTGGGTAATTTCTTATAATTGCGGACAGTTTTTTTGTCGGTGATTGTTGTACTGACAAGTAAGGCGCTTGGTCGCTATCCAGGAGGTCCCAGTGTTGGTAAAATGTGGTCTTGTGTACACGTTTGCGTTCACGTAAAGAAAATCTTGGCAGTTGGAATTAGAAACGAACCTCAGGCCAAAGTCAACTTTTGGGTGTTAAACGGGGGCCTACCGAATGAAACAACCAGAAGTTAAAATGGGTTCCTCGATTGTGGACCGAATGATATAAGCATATGGACCCCATAAATGTTACGGGTTGGGGCAGAAACGAAAGTTCCGAAAACATTCCTGTTTTCAGTCGGCGGTTCTGCGAACGCTGTAAGCGCACCAAAGGGGGTATGGTTTGGAGCCCTCCCCCCTCCCCCATAAAAATTAGGCTGTCGGAAGTCGGTCACCAGTGAGCTGTGCTGGGTCTTCCAGGGAAAATACTGATGACCGGAATTACAATCAGATTATTGTAATAATTGCATTCATCCAGAAATGTAACTTCCCGACGAAACAAATAATGATAATTTATATACTCTTCAAAAGAAAGTAGGGGATATTCAGAAACAATACAAAACTGCGGAAATGCACTGCTGTTTTTATTAGAGGTAACCAGTGTATGTTAATAACAGGCCAATTGCCTACACATAAACACAAAGAGTTCATATGGGTGGCTTATCTGACGGCCCCATTTCACTCGCAAAGAGATAAAATGGACTTTTTTGATTTTTGTCTTAATAATGAGTAATTGCTTCACCAATCCCCAGACATTCAGCAATTCGTCGTGGCATGCTCCTAATCAACCGTCCAATCACGATTTGGGGCTATCTGACCCACTCATATTGCAGTGAAACGGACAATTCTTGCAGTGTTGTCGGTTGACGTTGACGAACACGTCTCCCGATCAAATTAAACGTACACTAAAGCAAAGATACGCTAAACAGTAAATATTATGCAAGAACCGATAGGAAAGAAAACATGGATAGATAAACCAGCACGCGGCAGTTTTCATCAACCCTTCCTTGAAGTGTCAAATTTGACATCCCCCCCCCCCCACACACGTGTATAGCGCTATTGCGTGTCGCACATGCAGCTCAGTGGTTCTGTTGGGGCGATAAGTTCTTCATCTGTGAACATACTCTCAAAGCATGTCAAGTGTCCATGACTATTTATCATATCAAAACCTGCATAGGTATTTGCATTTCAATATCCTCTCCTTTTTTTTGAAGAGTATAAATCAGGAGCGGTAACAGTCATTGATTCTTCCACTCCTCTGGGATCTTATGCTATCTTATCACTGTCATATTCACGGTTATAGTAAACCGCCCAATGGTGAGTAGGACGTTGGGCGACATACTGTACAAATGTTCTGTCAACTCTCACAAAACAGGCAGAATTAACAAGCAGGTCTCGAGATTCTGTCCCATTTCTGATCCTTTCGTTCACAAGAATTTGCTCCCATCAATGTACTCAAATGCCAGGAAATTGACTAAAGGGGGAACTTCACAAAAATCCTGGCTATGCCACTGAGCGTCACTATCCTGAAGGTTCACAAAAAATAATCACAAAATCAATAACAATCATAATATGACATGAACTTTATGTCAACTTGAACAAAACTGCTTTTCGGCGGCGAACAACTCGGCAATACGATCTCTGTTCTACAGAGGCGGTCAGTGTTAAAGCCAGTATTTTGTCGACATTCATTGTGGGGTAGGAGTGTGGATGGCGCCTAGATATGTTGTTTTTTGGACCCCCCCCCTCCCACCCCTATTCACAGCTTCTAGATCCGATACAGTTCTGAAACAAACAGATATAAATTGTTTTGTGTAGAAACTTAATCTTTTGGGCCAGTTTTAGATTGAAAAAAAAAAACAGAATTCATATACAATCAATGCTCTTCACTCAGAATATTTATCTGTAAAACAGCTCAAATATTACATAACAATTTAGATTTAAATAGATTTGCTTTAGATGTAAATTATTTGTTTGCGCAACTTTGATTATAAAAATACTGGTACTTGAATAATATCAGTAATAACTTCAATATATACAGGGGGGGTTGGATGGCTGAATTGTTAGCGTGCGCGCGCTGTATCATAAAGTCTGTCATTGAGTCGACTGGCGTGGTTTCGAATCCCGGGTTGTACGTGACAAGGAGTAGGGTCGCCTGTCCAACCTCGTGGGTTTTCTCCGGGTCCTCCGGTTTTCTCCCACTGCTAAAGACCCCTATGCGCGAGCAAATTATTGAAATAAAATTTGACCATATGTTAGTCCCGAAATGACCTAGTTTGTGTCGAGTGGACGTTAAACCCCATTTCTCCCTCTCTCTCTCAATATATACAAATATCTAAAAAGGGAGTAGTCTCAAGAAATGTTATTAAACAAGTTAATTAGTTGGATTGTTTTATTTTATCTTAAGCAGTATTGTGGGATGGCGTGCCAGCCAAGAAACAGAGTATAGTCCTTCAAATGAGACAAAAAACAAGGTCATGTGTACACATGTGTGTGGCCATAAAACAGTGTGTATTTCCAAATATATATGTATTTTGCATTTACATAGTTTTAATTCCATTGTTTCTCAGTCATGGTATAGATTCTCTCTGATAATAGCAAAAAAAATTAACTTATTCTAAATGCAGTTTTCCTTGTTGTTTTGTAGTTTGAGGTGTTTTTACAATGTGATAAACACAGAATATAGAACAAAATTACAGTTATTCTTAAATTTACTTTCCTGCAGCTACTCCAAATAAGATCTATAATATGAACAATGTCATAAAAATATTAAATATAAAAAAATAAAATTGAGTAGATTGTGTTGAAAGATACAATGAAGCCATTCATGCAAAATACCAGTATTAAATTAATACTTAACCCCTTTTACAGGAAAAGCTAGACGTGTTAATTACCTCCTGCCTTATTTATATTTTAGTATAAGAACAATTATTTACATCAAGAGCAAAAGACTCCATGTCAAATGATATTCATTTCTGAAACAAATTTCCTCAAATTTAATTTCCCAAAATGAGCATGGACTTTAGTCGAAACCTCCCCTTACATAAAAGGATGAAAAGATTGCAATGCAAACTCCGATACAGCAGCTATGGTTTGACAGCAGCTTATCTGAATTGAAAACTTGGATGTTGATCAAATTTGTTAAGGGATGCCTTTAAGAAATCTGATCTCTCATGATAACAGAGCTGAATATCCAAACGCATTCACAAGGGTTTGGCCTCTCATGACACAATGGTTTGCATCAAATTTGAAAAGAATCCATCAACGCCTGTAGCCTCTATCGCATTCACAAGCCAATTATTGATGGACGGACAGGGTGATGACACAAAACGTCCACAATGAAATATGGGCATATAATAGTTAATGGTAAAAAGCATGGATTATAGAGATGGTGAATACTTGAATTTTGACATCCTACATTCTTTAAAGCATCTTGAAAATAAAAAGAATCTTTTTTTTCTCATTTTGTCGGACAACTGCTGTGTATGTTGGGAACATTGGTCTCTAATTCTAGATAATTATTGGTCTTGTGCTTAATATTTATGACAGAACCAAAGTAACAGTTGACTCATCATTTATCAATTCTAGAATCTCCATAAATGTTCAACAAAACTTAAACAAAAAATTAAGATACAGTAAAGATAAAATCTATTTATAAAAATGACAAATCATAATTTAAAAATATTAATTTGTTATGTGATATAAAACAAAATAATAAAACAAATCTGGAATTTAGGGATTTACTTCGAAATGAGTGTGAAAACTGTGGGATGCACAGTGTACTGAAATAAAACAAACATAAATGACTTTAAATTATCTCAGTTTTACTATTCCATTATTATATATTTTAAAATTCATTACCACTAGCACTTATATCTTGGATGACTATTGAATGAATAGTTTTTTTTATGAAAGAAATGTGGCAGAACATGAGACAGAAATAAAAGAATGTTAAAACATGTAAAATAATAGATAAGGAGGAAAAAATCTCAACAATGTTAATAGTGAAGGTCAAAGGGTTGTTTTGAAATGAAATCAATATTTATACAATGTGAATGTGATAATTTACAAATTGATGATTTTTAGAACTTTTGTCCAAAATTCAACACTGAAATGGCTAAATATGAAATTCTGGCAGCTTCATTTTTTTGCAGTTTGTAGTGTGTTTCATTTAAAACTTGGACCTATCTACTACTAATACTAATAGGGGATTACAGCGTTCTATAAAGCACTAGAACTGGATCTTCTTGTTATAGAGAATGTCATTTTATGTTTATAAAATACAGAGATAATATGGCTATGAAAACCAAATAATATATGTACTTACATCAACATGAGAAAATAATAAATTAATAATGAACAACACCCAGATATACAAACCATTTTGCCTTGATTTACAACAAAATTTACATATTTACAAATATATGAACACTCAATTTCAATTATTATCATTGGTACCTTACTACGGCTAATAATAAAATTTTATTAACAGCAAATTCAACTAATGATAAAAAGATTCACATAAAAATTTATATTCTAGTAAACCAAATTGTCATTCACAATAAAAAATTCATTTAAAAAATATTCTTTCTAAAAAGCAATATTTTAAAATTGTAACATATTTGAGCCATAATTTACTTTGACATTGTTTAACAACTGCATGAACAACTATTAATCACAGTCTTTGGTTCTTGAGCCAAAAAGAATTTCTCTACAACCACACCATACAAGCTTTTACTGATCTAATAGTCCAGATTCTAAAATAAAAAAAAATACAAAATGGCATTTCAAGTCTTTCCTGTAGGAAAGGGAGGTTACCTATCCAATATACCATCGATGCTCTCCTAGGCTTTGAAACAAAAATGCTTAACCAAATTTGACTGAAATCATTGAAGTCGTTAAGAAGAGGAATGTCTAATGCCTAAATTTACCCCATTTAAAGCGCCCTTGCCTCTGTATACTTCATTTGAAACAAGCCAACAGTGAGGCTGATGTCCCCCACCGAAATCTCAGAATAAATAGATGACACATATTAATTTATCGCAAATTTATTTTTTTCAAAAGTATCAAGCAATCAAACAGATTATCAACTATACACAATGTTTCATCACTCTCTATCAGCTAGAATCAAAGTTATCTTGTCCTAAGCAGAAAATTCTCATCATTGAACTTAGTTATGGTAATGATGTAATGAATCTATACTCAGAGTTTCATCACTCTCACTTAATTAGAACTAAAGTTATCGTGTCCCAAAGCATTAACTAATTCTCATCTTTAAACTCCTTCAAGGCATTCATCTAATAAACACCTACACCAAGTGTGAACATTCTAGCTCAATTAGAAATTAGAATGAGAGTTATTGTGTTCCAAAAAGTCTGACGGACAGACAGACAGGCAAACAAACCCATTATAATAGTTCCCTGCTTTCTACGAAAGGCGGGGGACAAAAATGGGAATAAGTACCACCTATGCAACACACCTACCAAATCTTATGAAATCCATCAAGCAGCTTAGTACAAGAGGTAAAAAAAATGTAACAGGGCGACGAACAGGGTGGATGACTCAAGCTTTTGGGATGTAGACAATGGAGGCTTACCTATTCTTTCAATAAATGGGATCCCCTCGAGAACTAAATGACAAAGAATAAGTTTTCCTTACTATAAACCCCTAATGCACAGTGGGCAAATTTCAAGAGTCAACAAAAAGTGTTATATGACCATGCATGTCGAGTGATATATAATCAAATACTTCCTTATTAAGATATGACCCTTTCCAACTTTAAAAATATAAGATTATAATTTGACTTTTTATTATATAAACAGAGCTATTTTGAAGATTGCTTCAATAGTTTTCTTATAATGATTTGAACAGTTTTTGATTTTTAACAAAGACTGCTCAAGCGAAAGATCAGAGTTAATCAACTTACTGAGAAATCGTGCTCTTTTCTCTTCAGCTTTTCTCTTCCATTCAGGTTCTATTGTATTACGTGCTGCTTCTTTAGCAGGACTAGGTGTTTTACGTAGTTTTATATTTGATAACCATGGTGAAGTTATCTTTTCATTGGAATCGTTGCTTTCTTGACTGGAATATTCTAAAAATATAGATATGACTATATTGTACTAAGTAAGAACCATGAGTTTAGGGCAATGAGAACAAAGCCTCTCTAAGAATGTAAAAGAAGTTTGCCTGTAAAAACTGTACTTGGTTTCAGGAAATTTTGCATGGATAGAGTCTGTACAACCTATTTTCATTTCAACTGTTAAGGGTTTTTTTTATGTATGCCAATAAAATGTGAATCAGCAATCCAAACAATTAGACATGATTCCTTGACAAGTCCCTTTGTCTTACTCCACTGACAAGGGAAGACCACACTGGAAAAGTCGGAGGTACTTTCTTGGACAACAACAGGATCAAATCCTGGACTCCTGATTAGTGACAAGGGAAGACCACATTGGAAAAGTCGGACGTACTTTCTCAGGCAACAACAGGATAAAATCCTGGACCCCTGATTAGAGACAATGTAAGACAAAACTGGTAAAGCCTGAGGTACTTTCTTGGACGATTCCAGACCCCTCATTAGTGTGCCATCATGGTTACCTATAAGAAAACCAGACTCGTGTTAAGTTTACACGAATATAATGTTACTCACCTTTATGGAATGATTTTCTCTTTGATTCAACATGTACTTCAACAGTTGGTTTTCTCAATTGCACACTAGGATTGATTTTTTCTTTTATGTCACCATTTTCTTGATTTTCATTTTCTAGAATATATAAAATATTAATAAATGTGTTTTTAAAGGACATGAAAAAAACCTAATTTTAATTCCCTCCAAATGTAATGTTCGTATATAGAACAATTGTATCCCCCCCCCCCCCCAAAAAAAATACTTTCTATGCTTTTTTTTAAAAAAAAAATCACATTTATTTACAGAAACTGAATTAACAATAGGCAGAAGCCTACAGATCCAAATTTTGCTGTCAATTTCTTACTTTCTGCACCGCAAATGTCATATTTACTGATGTTGGACGTGCAAGGAAAGTAGGTGACTAATAATTGAGTTAAACCATGGAACATTGTTACAGTGGTCCCATTTCAGATTTCATGTTTGTAATTTACTCTATAACGCTTCATTTTCTGAGTCCAAACTTAACCTTTTAAGGAACAACCACTAACCAAGTCAGGTATCAGATAGTTAAAATTGTTTATATGGCTAGGTCAAAGGAAAACAATTAAGAAATTAAACAAGAAATTAATGCATCATGCAATTAATGAGACCTGAAGGTGACTTATACAAGTGTATTGAAATAGCAGTGCCTGGCTGTACATGTAGGGCCTACATTGTTCCTACGCTTAACATGACTGTGAATTTTGACATGTAAAACACCATTTACCAAAATATGACTTAATTTCTGTAATATTATCAACAACATTGATCAGCCTATTCTTTGATTAATTACTGTCGATTATTCTATTGTTTTGAGAGATGTTATTTTTGATAATACCACTAGACTGTTACTAATATTCATATAGTCATTAACTTCTTAAGTGTTTACTAATAAAATTATTAAATTTCTGTGCGTAATTCGAATCTTTGCTCAACTCGGATCAAAATGTTCGGTCCATTTGATCTAATTCTGGCTTTTTTCCTTCGCCTAAGTTGGATCGGCAGTAATGTTTAGAATTTGACTAAATCAGCTTCGTCCCGATGGTCTAAAATGCGGTTAGGTATTCCATACAGAGCCCTAAAATACTTTCCCCTATCATTTTGACTCAAATCAGCCTATTTTCCCGGAAAATTAGAAACTCGCTGTCTGCTGTACGAGACACTTTCCTGGAAAATTTAGGACATTTTTCAAAGATAGCGACAAAACGGAAGTTATCTACTCACACCAAAACGGAAGTTATCTACTGGCACCAAAACGGCAGTTATCTACTCGCACATACGAACAAAAGCTTGAAATGTGCCTTTGAATCAATTAATCTGGCTCTTGCAGTTTATTTCTAATCGAGCTAAGATTGAATTTCGGTCTTCGGCTAACTCTGATCTTCGCTTAACTCGGATAAAATTGGTCAGTCCATTTAGATCCAACTTATGCAAAGTTTACTGTAATTCATATTTGGTTTAATTAAAGTGTGCTGTGAGTTACTTACCTTGTGAGATTCCGACTTTTGATGTTTTGGTTAACTTTGTAGCCAACCGGGCTGGTTTGGCTGGTTTGGCTGGTTTTTGATCTTCGTTAATTTTATTGTTGCTGGAATCAGGTTTCACACGACTTTTTCTAGCATGCATCTCTTTAAACCCAGATGGTGTCTTAGAATCAGTATCTTGGGCAGATGTACTTTCATAGTTATTGGAATTATTTCGATTACCTCCATTTTTCTCTGATAGCGGAGGTGGCTTCTTTAATTTCGGTTCTGTCAGCCATGATGAAAGATTGGAAGGCGAATCTGTCTTCTGAGGATCTGAACATATACTTGACCGTTTTTCTTCTTTTGTATAAAGCTTTGCTGGAGTATTTCCTGTTTCAAGGTGAATAGTATGTCTCTTATAGGAAGGTGTATTGGAAGTATGTGATGTATTTCTTAGAGTAACTTTAATGTCATCAAATGAATTGCCAAAATCTTTATTTGTATCACTGAATGAACTATTTTTGCCTAAATCTTCTTTAGAATCATTAAAAGAGTTTTTAGTCTTTAATTCACTTTCAACTGTCTGGAATGTTTTCTTACTTTCTTCGTCATCTTTAAGTAGCATGGCATTCAGGGAATTTCGTTTGGAAACCAATTCTGTTTTAGAAACACTGCTTTGAGTTTTTTCAGGGGACGGAGGCAGCTCTTTTCTTGTTAAAGATAATCTATTTGGTATGACAGGTGGGTTATCTATGGTAGGCAGGGGTTTTATACTGGGAGGTGGTGATGGACTTCTTGTTGGGGTTTTCACTTGTGCAGCTGCAATGGAGGTAATTGAAACAGGAATGTCTTGTGTAAACGATTCATTTTTCTCCACTAATTCTGATTCTTTCTGTTTCTTTTCTTCAATAATTTTAGAAGTTAACATTCCAGAGTTTTTTGGAACATCAGTTTTCTGCGATGTTTCATTCATGCCACCAAATAACATGTCATCACTAAAACCTTCATCATGAAGAGATGACCGTTTATTTTCCATTTCAAAGGGTTTTCTTTCATTTTCATGTGGTTTAGATGCTTGTTCATCTTCCTGTGCTTTGGGTTTTTCTTCACTGGTGGGGATAGTCGGTAAAACCCGGACTCCAGTTTTCAGTTGTGTTCTTCCTCCAATTTTTGGTAAAGTAGGTAAAACACGGACCCCTACTGGTTTATTTTCCTTTACGACATCTGCTTCTGGTGGTTTACTAATTTCACTGTCAGTATTTTGGTATACAGTACTATCTTCATCTTCATCATCTGATTTGGTTTGTGTTTTTGCAAATAACTGAAAGTATTGACAAAAAAAAAAATCACCTGATTACCTGTTAAATGTTAATGACTCTCTAACTTTAGGACACGGAATAGGGAAAGTCCCACCTTTCACCCTTTTCATTTTTTGTAGCTACGAATGAGCTGCAATATGCTTTAAAACTGGAAAGTAATTATTAAAACATTCTTAATAAAAATATACATAAATTAAGTTGAGTGGTTCTAAATTATGTCAACCATGTCAAAGAGATAAATGAGCTGCACTATTTGTACTCAGTTTGCAGATCTATTTACAAGCCTACATTTTCAAATCAAACAGCTATACAATTGATGCTAATGGGATTATATTGTCAAATATCCCTATCTGTTTCAGATTCTATCATCTTGGATGGAAAAAGGTTCTGACAATGTTAAGTTTCACATGGACAATTCAATCCAGTATCCAAGGTAAATAAAGTCATACTTATTTGGTTATTAATATTATTGTAAAAAAAAGTTTATATTGTATTTCATTATGGTAGAAGAGTCACAGTTGGTTAAACATTGATCAGTCATGTGGCTGTGTTGAGTTCTGGAATTAGACAGGTAGAGCTAAGCTTTTAGATTTTATATACTCAATTCGCTGCCATTCTTTCTTTTAAAAAATGAAATCTCAATCTCCAACATGGGTGTCATAATAGTAAATACCTTTCTTGTATACTGGTCATCAAAATATTTTTTTTACCAATGATGCAGGGTTTTATAATTACGTTCCAGCTTTAATCAGGGTGAGAATGAGCTAAATAACATGCAACATACTTATATAATGAAACCTATTTATTTGTAAATTTGTGCACATCAGAAGAATGATATTCCTTTCTTACCAGGAGAGAAATCAATATTTATTATTACCTTAGACTTTTTGAGATCATGTAAGCCTGGCATAACAAATGCTGGTTTAGATGTTTTTGTTGGAGCAATTGGTGCTTCCTCCTCAACTGTCTCACTGGTTTCTGTTGATTCATCTTCATCTCGCGAAGTAACCTCTTCTTTAGGTTCTAAAATAAAACCATAAGTTACAAGTATTAATCATGCCAAGTAACTTTCTTTACAACTGCAGGACACAATATTAGTAGACCATAAACTTTGTAATTACTTCTTTGTATACACTGTGAGTTATGAGCAAACTCATTTTCTTTCTCTGAAGTCTTAAAGAATGTAGTTTATCCATACATTTCTATTCAGAAATACAAAATCTGTTGGAAGCCCTTGCTTCATTAAATATTTTCTAAAATAAATATGCGTTCAAATGATACAAAGCAAAACAATACTTTTGTTTAAATAGTTTTAGACAAATCTTTACACTTATAACTGCAGACTAATCATTATTATTTCAAATAATTCTAGGATTAGACCATGCTTATTAAAATTTATCGTCTTATATTTCTTTCTTATTAAATATTGGAGGGTTCCGAGTTTGATTAAGTTTAATATGTACTCACCTGTGGAATCTATGTAGATATTGTTTTCGTCATTTGGTAAAATTGAACGAACACCTTTCCTAGATGGTTTTCTTCTCAGTGCATATGACCCTTTTTTAGCAATTTGACCTTTAAAATGTTGGGCACCTAAACCTAACTCTGAGCTGGATGGTAGCTAGAAATATATAAAATCTAAATGGAGCATAAAACAAAAATACATATGCAAATCAAATCATGCTTTATTCACGAAAGCTTAAAACTGATTGAAAGTTATTATAAACTTTAATAATGGCACCTTATTAAGTAAGTATTGATCTTAAAAAGGTGACTTGCTGCATGGAAACTTTTGCATTTAGTACTTAGAAAATGGTTTATTTCTCCTATAGATGTATAAAGGAAATACTGTTTAACAGTTATTACCTCTATAACATCAAAATTAAACTCCTGATTTTCGACATCACCATTAGTTATACTTTCTTCATTCTGTAAAGAGAGACATAAATACATGCAAAGTATTGGAAAGTTTTTTTTATTTTCAACTATACACTGACTATTTAATTGTAATGACAGAAATAAGCTGTACAAGATATAAAACTGATGAATTCAGGGTGGAAGTCTTTTAAAAAATACAAATGGCAAGTTTTTGTGTGTGCTTGGTGATTAAATCACTCCCACCATCTACATTTTTGTAGCATTTAAGTAGAGACTTCCACCCACTACTGAATGATACACAGCAAAATCTATTAAGGCTAGTTTTACCAATATCAATATTTATATAAAAGATATTCAAACATAGAGCAGCAGCAAAGCTCTAAAATCACTGTAAGATTACTCCCAAAAAATTAAGATCCAAACTTTTTCGAAAATCGATAGTGTTATTCCTTATGCCTCAATGAACAAATTTACTGAGTTTTAATAACTGTTAAAAAAAAGTTTTAGAAACCACCATTGAGAAATCTGTTCTATATTGTGTATGTGTTTAATAGTGAAAATAAGATCGAAAAGATAACTCTGTGTTTTTTCCTATGTTTTAACAACTTTTCTTGACAACTCTGTCGTATATTGGGCGTATAAGATTTCATAAATATGAATGTACATGTAAATGGAGGGATAACTCTGTCATTAACAAACAAAATATTAAGAAATCCTTCTTAAGTCCATAACTCACCAAATCTTTAAAAACTGTCATTGAAAACTTTGTCCTGTAAGCTTTAACACTAAAATAATGATAACTCTTGCAAAACACACTTTCTTTTCTATTCTGATCGGGTTATTGATAAAGCATTCTTATAAATTTGAAAAATATTCAACTAAGAGTGTTACATGTATATCAAGGAATTGACTGATGGAGATGACAACAATACACTTCCACTTTAAATGTGGGCAGAGCACAAAAAAAAAATAGTTCAGTATTCCATACCATACAATTATCATTAGTTAATGTCTCTTCATCATTTATCATTGGATCTACAGAAATATTTGGGGTTTGTTCTTGGGTAGATAAAGTACTAGATACACCAAAATCTAGTTCATCAATATCATCTTGTTGTGTGGTTTCAGCTATAGTGGTCGATATACTATCACCAAATAAATCATCGTCGTTAATCATCACAAAACTATCAGTCTGTAAAAAATATCAATCTTTATAATTAATATTTACGAACCTGATTTTTAAAGATTATATTGAGAACTGTGGGGCATGTCACATTATCTTTAAAAATGCAATACAGAAATGTCAATTTTTAAAAAAAATTTTTTTAACTTTGTATGTCTCATTTAACAATCCTGCGAAATTACTTAAATATCTGTTAAAAACCCTATGTCCTCCCAACCATAATTTGGTCTTCTTTTCGGTCCTATAAACTGATTTAGCTGTTCAGACAAAATATCCCAAAAAGCACACTGAATAGCGTATGCATGTCTTCATTAGTTAGATGTCAAACCCCATTTCATTTATTCATTTGTTTTACTTGAACCATATCTGAACTTTTAATGAGTAGTTCTTACTATAATATTTCAACTAACCTGGGGATAAGAAGAAGAGACGTCTAATAATAAATCTGGTGCAGTCGAGTTATCATAGTTCGGTACTGTCTGAAATAAATTCATATTATCAATATTATAAAATTTCCAGTCAAACCAGACATTACGATTATAGGCTACATACAAAAAGAGAAAAGTTTTCTGTATCATCATTGTCAGCGATTTTTGAAATGAACAATCTACATTAAAATCAAATAGTCAAATGAATAAATATCAATTTGGACTTCCATAGTCACTTGCCCTACATGTAATTCAGATCTTTCCATAACAATCTACCACAAATACTACATAACAAAGGGATATAACTCCAACAGTTCAATGTATTATCAGAAATCTTACATAAATTGTAAAAAGATGTATGAAAAAGTTCAATCATTGTAAGAGACTGATTTTAAAGCAGTTTAATTAACAGTGGCAATAACTCTACTTCAAAACACATTGTTTACTCTCACAAACCACTTTAAAACAGGTAGTTTCATCCCACCAATAATCCTGAGGTGGATCATAGTCATATGCAAAGAATGTATCTACGAATAAGGCATTCAATGTTATTTCTGATTGATATACCAGTCCTAGTCCTAGATATTAAGCTATTATCTTTTCTGCAGGTTCTTTTACCAGTAATTTTCATTATTAATTTTACCTAATGCTTTGAAACAACAATAACAATTTAAGTTTTATCCTAAGTACAATATTCTACCACCCTGGATGGAGCTATCCTGGTTGAACCGGTTTGTGGCCCGGGAGGAAATGTCTTCGGATGCATTTAAATAAATAATAATACAAACCTGAGCATCTGGAATGATGGAATAATCAGAAAAATCACAAAGTGAGTCAAACAAATCGACATTACTAATGGTGGCAGCTGACTGTGTGGTGGTGGTGGTGTTAGTGTTGGAGGATGGAGATTCACCAAGAAAATCCAACAAATCATCAACGTCAACTCTATTGTTAGTATTGGGTATGGTGTCCATTTTTTTGCTGTGCAAAAAATTAATACTTGTGCAAATATTTTCTATTCTCTAGCTGCAATATACAGATTATATAAAATAATGATACCGACTGCGAGTTTTTCCAGTACTACCTATATATTTTGGCATTCTTGTCACATTATGTCTATGATCAAAAGTACTGATATTCAGTATTTAAGCAACCAAAAATTTGAGAATACCTTTCAGATGATATTTTAGCTAGAATGGATTCAATTTGACTTTTTGCAGTCTGCAAATGATACTGAGAATAGCAAATGAACAATTTGGCAGCTTGATGGGATACGTGAATGGTGAACTGTAAGCAAGTACAAGCGGTGAAGTCCTTGTTATACCCCTTCGCAAAAATGCAACATTAAAGCCCTTGATCTATCACTGACGAATTACATGATATACATGTAACTTTACACAAGTTGAAATATTCTTTTTGTGTAGACAAGGCCATCTGTTTCAGCACCTTTTGCTGCATTACTGTTCAAGCTATAAGTCTACATGAAAGCCTGATTTTGCATTAAATTCTAAATGTGAACTACACTTAATGCAATCTACAAACTAGTATAATAATTACATATACAATACATATTGTATGGATACAATCACTAAGTTTAATACACTGGAACGTTTTAATAAGATTAAAACTTACAGTATAATAAATATAGTGATTGTATCAATGCCAAGTATTCTACATGTATTATAATATAAGTCAATTGATATATGACTCTGCATGCATAATCATGCATTGCTAGACAGATGAGTAATCAAAGTTTCAACAAACGGAAATGACAAATGCAAAAGAAAAACGCAAGTTATCCTTCTATATAACTGACTGAAGTGATAAGTGATAACAGATACGCAGGCAAAATTTCTGCTCACTAATAATTCCTTCGAAGCCCAAAAGTGGTTATATGAGACTGTGAGAGGATATCTGACGATTCAAAACAGAAATGGACTGTCACTAGAAAAGAGAAAACGAACAAATATTAAAAAAATGTCCGTGCATTACCATGTTTTTAGTAAGTATAGAATGAATAAAAACAAGTGAATGTATGGACTATTTCTATTTTTCTCGTGTTCTCTTATCTAGTCACATTCAATTACTTTTTATACGCCCACATTTTCATGTGGACGTATATTGTCGTCGCTCCTGCCCGTCCACAATTGTTTGTGAACAGTCTACAGGTCACAATTTTTATCCGATTTCAATGAAACTTGAAATATAGGTTTATCACCCTCAGATCTCGGTTCCTTCAGATATTGGCATGTATCGGACTGTAAGTTCATGGATTATGGCCCCTGATTGTACGAAAAATCACGTTTTTATCCGATTTAGTTTAAACTTGAAATGTATGATTATATCCCAAAGATCTCGGTTCCTTTCGATATTCGCGCATGTCGGACCGTAACTTCCTGAATTATGGCCCCTGATTGTACGAAAAATCGCGTTTTTAGCTTGTAGAGCCTATAGAGGTCATAATTTTTATCCGATTTAGAAAAACGTATTATTATATCACCGTTACACCCTAAGGACGACTGAGTCCGAAATTCGTGAAAATCAGCCCAAAATTGACAGACAAAATGGCCGCCGTTCGTTCTCAACTAGCGTAAAAATATGGTATATCAAGGTTGTGGACCATATAGAGGTCACAATTTTAATCCTATTTTAATGAAACTTGAAATGTATGTTTATAATCCAAAGATCTCATTTCCTTTCGATATTCGCGCATATCGGAACGTAACTTCCTGAATTATGGCCCCTGATTGTACGAAAAATCTCGATTTTAGCTTGTGGAGCCCATAGAGGTCATAATTTTTATCCGATTTAAAAAAATGTATTATATCACCGTGAAACCCTAAGGACGGCTGAATTCAAATTTTGTGAAAATCGGCCCAAAACTGACAGACAAAATGGCCGCCGTTCGTTCTCAAATAGCGTAAAAATATGGTATGTAAGTTTATAACCCAAAGATCTCGGTTCCTTTCGATATTCGCGCATATTGGTACATAACTTCCTGAATTATGGCCCCTGATTGTACGATAAATCGCGATTTTAGCTTGTGGAGCCTATAGAGGTCATAATTTTTATCCGATTTAGAAAAACGTATTATTATATCACCGTTAGACCCTAAGGACGACTGAGTTCGAATTTCGTGAAATTCGGCCCAAAACTGAGAGACAAAATAGCCACCCTTCGTTCTCAAATAGCGTAAAAATATGGTATATCACGGTTGTGGACCCTATAGAGGTCACAATATTTATCTGATTTTGTTGAAACTTGAAATGTAAGTTTATAACCCAAAGATCTCGATGCCTTTCGATATTCGCGCATATCGGAACGTAACTTCCTGAATTATGGCCCCTGATTGTACGAAAAATCACGATTTTAGCTTGTGGAACCCATAGAGGTCATAATTTTTATCCGATTTAAAAAAAACGTATTATTATATCACCGTTAGACTCTACGGACGACTGAGTTCGATCTTCGTGAAAATCGGCCCAAAACTGACAGACAAAATGGCCACCCTTCGTTCTCAAATAGCATAAAAATATGGTATATCAAGGTTGTGGACCCTATAGAGGTCACAATTTTTATCCGATTTTGTTGAAACTTGAAATATAAGTTTGTAACTCAAAGATCTCAGTTCCTTTCGCTATTCGTGCATATCGGACCGTAACTTCCTGAATTATGGCCCCTGATTGTACGAGAAATCACTTTCTTTTTAGCTTGTTCTCTATCCATCTCTCGAAAATGTGGGCGTATCCTGCCTGGCACCCGCTGGTTTGAATTGTCAGATATTCTCTTACAGCCTCACATCAACTTTCGGTCTTCGAAGGAATTGTTAGTGAGCAGAAATGTATCTGTTATCATTCGTCACTTCAGTATGCTATATAGAAGGATAACTCATGTTTTCGTTTTGTGTTCGTCACTTCCTTTTGTAGAAACCTTCAATATGCATCTATCGTAGCAATGATCTCTGTGTTAAATTTTTATTTGGAACATTTTTAATGGGTTCTATCACTTCTATCACATATGTGATAATGACTGACACCAATATTGTCCTTTAAGGGAATATGATAAATTTAGTTGCCTATTAATAAGTGAAATAGTCTGAAATATTAGGCAGCCATCTGAATTCAATAAAATTGGAGAAAACTTATGCAATGTTTCTTAACATATTGTTAAACAGGTTAACATTTTCTACCTTTCATTCTGTGTATGGTATTTTTAACAAATTCAAATATGGTACACAAAGTGACAATATTTACATATTGTCTTAGACTGACATCAGAAAAAAAATAAAAATAAATATCCCTATATATTTTACTTACAAATATGTAAATCAGACCATTGTTGTCTTGTCACGTGCAATAATTACAGTCTACAATAGCCTGAAAGAAGAAAAGACATTCTGTTAGTCTATCATTCACCCAGTATATAAACAGGGATCAACAATATTGACAATCATGCTTTCATACTTGTGATGTCATCAATGTGTGTAGCATACAAATGTGCTGTGGCCCATACAGATTAAACAATACATACTAGCCCAATGCTATAGGTAAGCTTACATGTACTGTTAAGAAATTTGAAACTAAATAATTTGTAGTGAATAGTTTACTATATACATTATATACATATTATAAACCCAATGGTTTCATTCAAAATAAGGATTCAACCATAAACCAGTTTAACTGAATCAGCCAACCAAATATAAATAGGACCAAACGTATGGATATGACATGATAATAAGTGGCATACATTGTACAGATTCCAGAGTTCACCGGGACATCAATCAACTAACTACCTTTCTGAACTGATAGACAATCATATAGTTTTGTGATTGAGTTAATTTAATTCATCCGTTCAAAGATTGCGCTTCATTTACTGACCGCGTCTTTTCCCACAAAATAATTTTATTTAGCTAATATTCAGAAATTTTCCAGGTAAACATAATGTTTTCAATAATCAAGTTATTATTGCAGTATTCTATGACTTCTTCGACCAACATGCAAAACAAAAAACTTTATAGTAGGTTGTGAGTAAGTTCAGAGTTCTTATTTTCAACTATCTAACCAAGAAGTGTAATCAAACGAACAAAAGTCATGCTCCAGTCCAATTATGTCTTAATCTGGTAAACTATTCAATAACATGCTTGTTATATGATAAGTATGTATTAAGTCTACTATCCTAACTCCTAGATAGTGCTGTTACTTAATGGACAACGGTCACTTGGTAGTAGATCACTTATTACTGGGTCATTTTGTCAAGCATATTATAGAATCTGCTATGACTATATGACCAATAACTAATATCAACCTTATATTCGTCTGGTTGGATTCAATATGCTCTATTTATATTACCTGACCTAGTTTTAATCCTTCCTTTTTGTAATAAGTAACTGATTATAATCTTCTTTCAATTAATTAAAACAGTATTTACAGATCTTACCTCACTACAAGTTATCCGAACAATTTTGATTCAATGAGCGGTGTACAGAGAGTACCGATTTGTAGTTGTTATTAAAGTAGACAATTCTGATAATCAATAACATAACTATCCTTTTATAAACACAAGCTACATCTCTTCTTAGCTTAGATTATATTCCCATAAAAACAACACCATAATAATATTCCCTAATGAATTCATAATTTGGCTAAATTATACTGAATTTTGTTGTGCTATATCAAAAATTGTGTAAATTAGATTTTTCTATGATATAAAGTTTAAACAGTAACATTTTGATACTTTTTAAAAATAATCTTTGCGCCATTTCACATTCCATTTTATATTTATCTAATATAGATAATAAACCATATAAGTGTGTCCATTTAACTTCCCATCTTCTTAATGCATCCACATGTCCAAGTTCAACCCCACCTTGTTAATGTTTTACAATTCATAATAGACCTACAATCAACATTTATGTACCACTACCATGATAATTCTTTGCAAATAAAAACTAGAAAAACTTGGATACATGTAGGCTATAATTTTATCATCATTGGAATTCTTATTGAAACACACTATTTTTGCATGGAGGGGAGGGGCCTTATCTTCCTTTTTCCAGTAACTAAGCCACTGTTTTCACATTGATCAATATTTCACTGCAAGAACATGTGACCATTCAGATTTGATGATACAAAATGATAAAACGATAGAGTACATACAAAAGATCCATTGGCACTTGGTGATGAAAGTACAGTTGATAAAGGCTAGGTCAGGGCAAATTTCTCCACCTCGTATTGCACATACAATGATAAAATCATAAGTTACCAATGTCAGTTATAACTGAACATAAATCACAGTCTTCATGTGATGATTAAGCCATTCTTTGCAAATATACACATACACGCCTCTATTGATCTTAGTTAAGATAAATGTACACACTACATTTAAATAAATCCAATATGTAATGTTTTCTAGCCTACATGTATATATATACAGTTTGACATACTTATGTATTTATCTAGATGATGTCATCTTATCAATAATATCAGTATGTGCAACTATCCTTCCAGCATAATAATCAATCTAATCATTTTATATTTTTTTATGTATCATCAATCACATATTAGTTCACTATATATAGGATGCCTAAAACAGACCATCGTTGTTGCATTCACACGACATGTATTTTTTAGCCATGTGATGGGTATCTATTAATTTAGAGCTAGTGCCAGCAGCGCTTACAAGGAAAGAGTCATAGTCATGCACATAAAAGATCCATGGACAGTTGGAATATGAGGAAGAGTATTCAGAAACGTGATGTCCCCTGCCTTAATCCAAAAATGTATTGGTCACTTTTATCTTTCTAGCGGCAGTCAATTCTTTTTATGAATTGTCAGATATCGTCTCAAAATCTCACACAACAACTTTTGGTCTTTGAAGGAATTATTAGTGAACAGAAATTCGCCCGTATATCCGTTATCACTCGTCACATCAGTCAGTTATATAGAGAGATGACTTGTGTTTTCCTTTGGCGTTCGTCACTTCCGATTGAGGAAAGCTGTATTACTCAGCTATCATAGCAATGATCTCTGTGTTAAAATTATATTTGGAATGTGTTTAACCAGCTCTATCACATGTGTGATAATGACTGGCAAGACAATGGCAAGACAACCAGTATTGGAATTATCATCCATTTCAAGACAACAAGCAGCAACTTTAAATGGGTATTTATGAATACTACATCATGTAATAGTAAGCCATCACTGAATTTTTTGTGGTCAAAGAATTTAATCAAACTTATGAAAAATACCTTACTAGTACGTTGGTGACGTGGGCCTGAAGTGTTAAATACCATGACCACAACAGTGACTTACCCTATTTATAATGACCATACGTTCAAGTACATATAAGGAAACATATGTATAGAAGTATATATAGTAAGGTACTATATATAACAATATATGTCTATATATATAAAACTAGGTAAAATATACAACATTATACAAAATAAACACACTAACATCTAGTCAACATGTTCTTACATATTCAACAATGTTTTGATGCAGATAACGTTAGAAAAAAAGTAGCTGAAATTGCAATAGAGTGAGGGGCGTAAGAAAATATTGTATATATTCTTTTCAGTTTCTGAAATTACATACTCTAACATACAGTGTCATTACCTGTATAACACAAGGTTAGGTGTAACTTTTGTTAGGCAAATTTGGCAGATGGCTCTGAAATTGTTCCTGTCATGTTTATGTTTGTGATGCTAGATACATGTACGGTATGCCACAAATATATATTTTGTTTCATTGTTTTCCATTAAATTCAACAAAAAGTAAATGTAACATAAATAAAATAAACCTGTTATCATTTGGTCCGTACGTAACTCATGTACGAAAATGAAATGGTAGATAGGTCACTTCTCTGCAGGTAGGATGGGTCTGTCGTTCAGATTGCATTTGGTCTAGCCAGAAGGAGGAATAGCATTAAAAGTCCTATACCTTTTCTCAGAAAAGATATGGCAATATCAAACTTGATTCTACATTAATGTAAGCTATTCACATCTTGCGTCATATCTTGATACAAAATCTGAATATACACCATCGTAATAGCTGTAGTTCATAGTATTATGTGTTTTAATTTGAAGCACATTCTCTTACTAGCAGCATATCAATGTTGAATTTCAGACAGTATATATTTTTGCATTCCATATTTCTTTTTTAACACATGTGCATAATTACCATTGCAAGATACAATTATATATTAACAAAAAATAAATGAAATCAAACTGACATTTAGACCGAGACTCTATTATCTTATTACATGAACAATATATACACAAATTCACAATAAAATAGTTGTTCACAAACTCTACATAATTTTGACTGGCTGTATAAATAACATTTAATTTTAAAGATAAACAATATAAAGACCATTTTTACCCTGTGAAGAAGGTTTATGTGACCATCTTTAAAAACTAGATGTTTATTAATAGGTAAGTGAACAAGGCTATGAAATATGATGACAAGCTCTACAACTATTCAATCAATACATATATATTTATGGCCACACATGTTCACCATTACAATAACATTCTTATGTTACAATAAATTACCAATAAATTTCTTTTAAAGAGAGTGATCTGTATCCAGTGAAATGTTTTTTTCGGATTTTGGTGACCTAAGCATACTGTGCTTTTTGATTGTATATTGTTCAATGTTCAGTCTTAAAGATGGGTTCCCAGAAAAGTATTCCCCGAAAAACACCTATGGAGCCTACACAGGACAAAAATGTAAGGGTTCCCCTAATCAACAGCCCGACGATTAAGAATTTCTGCACGCGTGATGTCCAAAGTCACACGCGAACATTGAGTGCTTGATGTACAAGTTGATAAACTTTATGAAGAGTTAGACGTACAACACTTTCTGAGATAAAAATGGCAGAATAAGACGCGGATAGTGGATAATCCTAGAATTTAATTAGGATTCGATATTTGTAATAAATAGTAAGCGATTAAAGACAACATCGTCTTATGTATGCAATGAATTCTCCTCTGACTTCCAAGAGAGGTAAGTCACGTGACGTAAACATGACATGGTTTGATCAAGTTTTTATAGCAGGACATTCCTTCGCAATTACAATGTCTGAGAAGGATTTGAAGCAAAGTTATGACAAATTAATTAGTTTGAATATGTTTTTAGTCCATATATATACCATTAAATCACCCAGTTTGTACGCGGGAACCCATCTTTAAGCTGAGAAACACATAAATAAAATCTAACATAGTCGGCTATACTCTTAACCACTAGTTATATACACAGTCCAGTGGACAAAATTTGAAATGAAAGGGTAAGCATACATGACCTTGATGGTCGCCAAAGTATTTTTCTGCTATTCTGGCCCATCAATACAGCCACTTCAATGTGGTCCAATATTG